CAGTACATAGTACCTTCTTGCACTCAAACGGTGATAACTATGTGAAGAGTTTGACTTTAATACAGTCATTAAAGTTGTGTAAACCTAATGTATTGAGTGAGGTGTAAAAATATTACTTATCTGCAGTGTTTCAATTCTACGTGAACATAAGGGAGAGAAGAAAACATTTGTACCATAAATATTGTATGATTTCACATGGGGTTAACAAATACCCTTGTCTTAAAATATTAATGTAAATATCTCCAACTACCAAGTTTAGGTACATGGTAACCCCAGATTATTATTACTACTATTTTTTATTTGTTACAGTGGTCCAGTCATAAATGTACTTTACAAGGGTGATACAAGCATATTCAAAAGACCAATATACACATGTCCCGGTATTCAAAATTATGCACACCTCTTGAAGAAAAAAAAGTTACTCATTACAATATGAGAGCTTGCTGAAAGGCTTGACCAACATAGCGACAAAGTAATGTATGCAAAAGAACAGGTGTGACTTATCTAGCTCATCAGTAAAGTTTCTTTGACGGATGAAATATACACACATCTGAGAAATTAGCATAGAGCCATTATATCATAATACGATATGTGCTATACAAGAACAGCATATTATTATTAGTAGTAGAAATAATCAAATCTATCATAATTTCTAATGTTTGGGGCATCTTTCCCTACATTTTAAGGGACTAATTTTAGATTTGAGTAGGAGAGTATGTACATGTATCCTTTACATGGCAATCGTCATTCTTCAATACCTGGGCCTGTATTAAGATTCGACTGCTTTACCAAATACCAATTTTGCTTGTAGACTTTAGACGCCCACGTACTCGAAATTCAGTACAAAATGAATGATTTTTATCTAGCACCTACACATCCATGGCACAGGCATACAATATTAAAACATCCACCCTGAAAAGAAAAAAAAAACACCATTATCTAAAAATGTTTTCATACTCCTGGCTCTGCTTTGAACCGACTACAACATGAACGCATTTTGACACACTGCAGAAGTAACATAGACATAAATAATCTCAAATAAATTGCATCTTACAAATACAACATCTTTAATTCATACGACTTTGAATTTATTTACAATTTTTAAGAGACGAGAAAGATCGCTTGGTATTCATTCATTTTCATTTTAACTCGCTGAATACACTTCACTAGGTAAATCTTCACAGGGACAATTTGACATTTTTGTTCACCCCCAAGTTTTGCTTTTGATTTGTGATGTTCCCATCCCTTCTAGCATTAAAGCTCTTTTACACAGTTCAGAGACAGAGGGGATTAGCTGTATACTGACACACCCTTGTCATTCTGTGACCGCACAGTTTTAACTTGAATGAAGGATAATATGAACATGCCTGTTGTTTTGTTCAACTGCCTATATTTAACAAATAAAGGAACAAAAAGGGATACGAATGCTCGAAAAGACACTTTTTTTCTCCTTCTAATTGCCTGCCATTTGCCCGTTACCATTTGCCACTTTGTTATTCATAAATAGTCACATCCGCTTGAGTGACCACCTGTATAGAAAAACCGCATGTTTTGCTTTTCCTCAAAAAATGTTTCTCATTACATCATATATTAAAGGTACCTGAATAGAAAGACCGCCTGTTTTTGTTTCCCATTACATCATGTGTTTAAGGTACCTGTTTATAAAGACAACCTTATCTTGTCTTTCGTAAGAAGTCTCTAGATGGATGTACTTAGTAATCTGCTGAGCGCTAGAAGGGCATTCTAATAGTGTTAACACCTCTATGGTTCTCAGCATCCAATACACGGTGTTCACTGTATGAATAAAAGTCTTCAGGGTAGTGCCATTAGTGATAAGATTTTGTTCTACCAAAAAAATTCTGCAGCGACATTAAGATAACCAAAGATATAAACTCCACTAATATAATGTTATCATTTTGTACAAGGTTGAAAGAACTTCATAAGAACCCGCTTAAGAAATACCGGTAGGATTTTTTTTTTTATTCAAAAGTATTTGCAAGGCATTTTTACCAGTACCTTTTGCTCTCGATTAACAACTGATGAAGCAAAATTTAGCTTCATGAAAGTTAGCAATTTGTGCAAACAAATAAAATTGACATAATGGAAATGAAACATTTTCAGATTTCATTAATAATTACTCGAAGACTAAAGACTAACACTAGCCCATTTTTAAAAAAAATTAAAAAAATTAAAATAAAATCAATTTATGTTATAGGATTATATATCTTTCAAATTCTCCTTTGTATCAGTGTAATATTTGCCATACCTATTTAATACAGCTTAAAAGGGCTTGAATATCTATATCATAACTCATTCCACTTATTACATCTTAAAATTCATGCAAGTTTCTTATAAGTAGGGATATTATCATTCATTCACACTTTTGTTAAATGTTACAAACACACATACATTTTTTTTTTCTTGAAGATTTTTCTGTAATTTTTTTCAAATAAATCTGCCCTGCAGACGACATATATAATGACAGCATGAAGATAATAAGCATTAAACAACACAAAATAATGCTTCCCTGATACTACAAAATTATGGAAAAACTATGATAAATATTAATAACAAATGCATGCCATTTTAATACATCGTACATATTTTTCCATGCAGCAAACACCCAATAGTATATAGTAATTGATCATACATCGTTCATGCCATGTGTTAAATGTACCTCATATTCCGTAATCCTATCTAGCACACTTTCCCCTTTTTGCTTGTATGCAAGTACATGAACATGTTTGTTTACATTAATCTAAGAATTTCCTCATCCTCAAATTATTATGATTACAGGCAAAAATTAATTCTTCTGAATGTTGTTGTTAGGAAACTGATTTGACCATTTTGCCTAGATACCAATTTGGATTCAAATGTATAAGGAAGTCAGTAGCCCTTCAAACGGGCCACAATCATAATGAGTTTGACCTCAATTAACTTAATACAATTAGCTGGTGGGAAAGCTCATAATTTCTGATTCGGTTTGAGGTAGAATTCATAAATTCTATTCTCTTTTTCAACCCTGAGCAAATAATAATTTCATGTTTTTAATGAAAAAATAAATCTAGACCATTCTGTCTTTTGAGGGCCAGGAGGGAGTTAACTCATATCACATTTGAGTTACAGCCCTACTTGAGTCTCAGAAGGGAGTTAACTCATATCACATTTGAGTTACAGCCCTACTTGAGTCTCAGAAGGGAGTTAACTCATATCACATTTGAGTTACAGCCCTACTTGAGTCTCAGAAGGGAGTTAACTCATATCACATTTGAGTTACAGCCCTACTTGAGTCTCAGAAGGGAGTTAACTCATATCACATTTGAGTTACAGCCCTACTTGAGTCTCAGAAGGGAGTTAACTCATATCACATTTGAGTTACAGCCCTACTTGAGTCTCAGAAGGGAGTTAACTCATATCACATTTGAGTTACAGCCCTACTTGCGTCTCAGAAGAAGAAAATTTGACATGTACACATGAAGCATCAAAGCAGAAGGGTTGGGGGAGGGGTGGGGGAGGGGTGTGGTGGTGGGTGGGGTTGGGCAAATTCTTCCGACATACATCTGCATGTTTATCCCACGCCTCCTCCCCATATCCCCCTCACTATCACTGTAGACAGGGCACATCCCTTAACACCCAACTAACTCTAGCTAGCCGATTAAAATTAGACTTTAGTCTTTCAATCATTTATATCACTTCGTAGGAGAATATGAGGTTCTTGGACTAACACAAAACTCCATTTTCTATCGAAATCCTCGCTCATCAGATGGCATGCATTACACACATTTAAAAACTTGTCAAATATTTCCCTTTTGGGAACTAATTCCATATCCTCTATTTGTAATATATCTATAATCCTATCATAAAATAACAAACCTCTAAAAAATCACAATGTAGCAATCATAAATACATGAATATAATACTATAGATCAAATGGGGTTAAAATCCTCTTTGCAATTATGTACAACACTGAAAAACTGATGATAAAGATTTCATGCTGCTAGAAGTCGAATTTACAAATTAAAAGGACAATTTCATTGTCATATGATTATCATGATGATAGTTATGATTGTTATAGTAAGCTTTACAAAGTCATTTTGCTAAAATAAACACACATGTATCTATTCACATACATGTACATGTATAATTTCTGATTGAATAATTTTATATATGTACAATGATTGATTAATAAGCCTTAGGGACAATATCTGTAAAACTAGATGAAACTCTCGCAAATTTCATGTGATGCCCAGATTTGCAAAAGTTAAATGCTGCAATTGTTTTGTTGTTATTTAATGCATTGAATGCCAGTACAAGACTGTACACTGTACAACTTAAAATTTCCTCATAAAGGTGCATGTATGGATCTAGTGTGCAATCACTGATGACCAAAAGTGTCCGGGTTTAGAGTAAATGATTAATTTAGAAAATTCGATCAAGTCAACATTTTCTTCAACTATCACACTGCCAACCTTGGTAAGAAAACAATCAAAAAGTAAACAGTTACATTAACTGTGATTCCATCCAATTGAATTGCAGTAGATATACATGTATGTAGCAGACAGGATGCAATATTTAGCACACAGGTTCTTTATCATACAAATAACAATCTTAGAGCGTACCCTAGTTTGAAAACTATAATGATTACAAACTACCAAACATAACCATTCCAATATATCAAATAAAACGATACTCATTCTTATAAATATATATAATAACTTTTGACTCGTGCCATGTTGCAGTTCTATTGGTATCTCATTGAAGGCGGCTTCATTTATATATCATTATCTATTCACTCATTTTCAAATAAATCAATTATTATTCAATAAGCGTCTCTCAAATTATCCCTGCCTTAGCATCAAACAGGTTTAATAAACAATACAGTATCAGGAAACTACTGTGGTTTTAACGCAAGAGGGTCCTGTGTGTCAATTTTTCATATCTTTTGTATCTAACACAGATTAATTTCAGGGAATACACGTAGGACCTTTGTTGCACTGAGCTTTTTTTTCATCCCAATTTGCTATTCATTTTCCAGCAACACCAACATAAACCTGTGGTATAATACTGAACAAGATTTCAGATGGAACCTGTTTACACCACCTCACTATTCTAGTACACCTTGAGGCCGGATAATGCTTTAGAGTGAAGTACCGGCACAATTCTTTACCCCTGTGGTCTTGAAGCACATTTAGCACACTTATTATTACCCCGGGCATCAGATTCAGGCTTACCCGCACACAATGTATGGACATTCTTCGCTCCCTGGGGAGCATTCCAGCCAGGCGTTATTTTTACAAGCACACACTTGCTCAGTTAACCACATTAGCTTTCACATCCTACCGGGTACCCATTTAACACCTAGATGAAGAGTGGCAAATGTAGATCAACATCTTGCCAAAGGACATTAGTGCCACGGCGGGACTTGAACCGCTGACCTTCATAAGCACTTTCTATGTTTTTCATCCCGAATGGATCCAGAATTCATTTTCGGGGGTTTCAAGGGATACAGTATTTAATCCTCTGTGACTGGACAATGTTTTCAAGAAAAGGTGAGCCTCGACATTGTTTCATTTTCAAACTTGCTTCTCCTTTCCAATCCAAGTCCAAATTCAAATCATTCTAGTATTCTAATTGATTGCCAACTAGCAAATAAATTCAAACAAAATACACTGCTTCACATGCAGATAGGGAAATAAGCCCTATATTGTGCTGTGCAACATTAACTCTCGACATGGTCAGCCGCAAACCCGGCGGACATCAACTCATACCTTTCTTACAGAGCCAACTCCCTTCTGGCTCTTGACCGATGCTCTTGACCGATGAAACCATATTCTTATCATGGTACATGTATTAAGACAAAGAACAACTAAAGCACACCAGACATAAAACATATCCCACGGTTACTATTGACAAACCAATTGACAAAGCTACATGTACATTTACTACTGGAAGCATAAGTAGGCGTAGCTCAAACTACAAATGGCAACTTCTATCCATTTTGTTTTCTTCACCTCATTAATTTTTGGCACGTTAACTACAAACTTCGCACTTGAGGATGAAAGTCAGTTTATCAGGTAGTGCAATTAAATACACACAAACAATCACAGTGCATTGCATCTAGGGTAACTTGTCTTGGTGCCATTCAAATTTTTAAAAGGGCACAAAATGTGTGGTGTCAATCCTAAAAATTTTAAAGATGCAAGGCAGACTGCAAAAAATATCACAGGATGCGCCTATCAATGCAAAGCGCCATCTCCTGCTAAGGTGCAAAGATTGTTCTCATTTCTCGCAGGCAATTTCCTGCTTCGTCTACATTCGTCGTGCCCAAAGTATTGCTATTACACCACTCTTTCGCTCTACAGTATATTAAAAGCCGAGCATCAATATAACATGTACAATTTTTGTTAATACAATCGTCATGGCGATATAAAATGTATCTATCACCTCTAAAAGGAGATTTTGATGAATGTGGGGTCAATAACCTACCTGTTACCATAGGCAACAAAATGCCACATTTCATAAACATATCATACTGCTACCTACAAGGTACTGACATTTATCGCAGACAGGACTTCACGTATCCGCTTTAAAATCCCACGATCGGTCATCCATCTTCAATTTACAAGTTATCACAAACACTGAGGCAGTTTTTTCGAGTAATTACATAAATATTTCGACGACATTATAGCACTTTTGACTGGTTTAAAGCGATAGCTCCATGCCTTTGTTTCTGATAGTCGCAGCGTTGACGCAGCTATGAAGCGGCTGGGGTTGCTCTGTGTGGATCACGTCTCTTCTGCGGCCTTTTGAACGTCTCCTGCTCTGCTGCCCTCATCTGGTTTGGTGGGGGTGTTGTCTTGGCAACCGTCTTCGCTGAGTTCTTGGTCGGCGATGCCGTTGTCCCCTTCCATGCTGCGACTGCAGTCGGAGGTGCGCTCCTCAGAGTCCTCCCGGATGGGTGCCATGGACTTCATCGACTGTTGGGTGGGAGGAGGAAGAGAGAAAGAGAGAGAGAGAGAGAGAGAAAGAGAGAGAGAGAGCGAAGGGAATAATAATTAAAAAAGTATAGACAGAGAGATGAGGTAAAGAAAAAAATATATATATTTAACAAAATGAAGACACTCTTACCGGTATGCAATTTTTCATAATACTGATGATAAATAGCAGAATTATCTAAAAACTTTACTTTTCTTTACTTCAAAAAAAAAATGCCTCCATCAAAATTTGTATGGTCATTAATCTAAAACTTATTCAAAATGTTGATTGTGTATGCATATTATTTTTTCATTTGTAAGTATTCTTTTTTTTTAATCAAACATTTTATAAAATACATGCCTCAAAGAATAGCATCGATCAAAAACGAGCGAAAGAACTTACAATTATATGAATATTTACTTTTAGAGCACAGTTCATGCGACAGAATATCTTTGTTATTCACTACTTTTACTACAGTAATCAATGTTGATATCAATCAATTCATTTCTTGACGTAAATGTATCTTTACAGTTTATGAAATAAATACATGTACAACTGAATACAACTGTAAAAATAGGACAGATAGAAGATGAGCATAGATTTGATGTTGATTAGTAGAATTTCACATAAACAGCAACTTTCATGATAAAATTCAAATTGTATAGGAGAGAGCATATTAGAGAATAGACTTTTTAGAGGAAAGAAAAGCTGTTACAAAATGGTAAAAACACACGTGTTATGATTAGTTATTACTTAAGATCATATATAGCATGTCTGCGTCAAATACAATCATGAATTCACAAATTAGTAAAATCGTCCCTATTTTCACGAAGTGACAGTAGTGAGGAAAATCGTAACGCAAAGTGAATGCAATTTTTTTTCACTACCGTCACTTCGTGAAAACAGCGACGAAATAAAGTAAATGAATAATATAGAGGTTAAAAGTACTGGTAATTAATTTTCTGCAGCTATTCAGTGTAGAAATATATCAAAGTGTACCCATCACCAAAACATGTATTCCATGTTACTATACTGTCTTTAAAAAGAAAGCCTCAAATATTACTTCTCCAAAGAGAGTTTATAGTTTAAATACATTCTCAGTGAACAGCAAAAGGTCTTGTTGAGTAGACTAGTTAACACACATGAACGCACTTTCATAGAATAGGATGCGCACAGAATCCAAGTTCGACTTGGGCTCCATCCTTTATGCATGGTTTACGTTATCCATTATTTTCTCGAAACTCTTTATCCGTTCACCTACAGAATGCCAGGTAACATTTGTATAAGTTGCTTTCATACATTCTAGCTATACACAATTTGTTTTTTCAAGTGATTGGTACGCTTTAACCAGAATACGAACTGGCAGTATATATTCACCATTGGAGTAACCTCATTTTCACAGTAAATATATGGAGTGTTAATAATAGCAATAGTTTTAGAAATTATTAGATACACATTTAAAATAATCATAACATAATATTGGCTTCCCTTGATTGGTAGATCAAATATATTTCATTCAGCTTGGGAATATTGCACGAGTCTAAGACAAGTGCAATATTGTATGAGTCGAAGAAGAGTGCAATATTCATGCCAACTGTATGCAATATATCTGATATACCATGAAAGATAGTAAGCAAATAATTACCGTTGGTGAAGGTGATGGGACAAACTATCACTTCCGAGGCGATCTGGATGTAGCTATCTTTCCGAAGCGAAGCTGAGGAAAGATAGTGTATATATTCTGATCGACGAGGAAGTGATAGTTTGCCATCGCCTGAAAACCAAAAGGTGATTATTTGCTTTATATTCCACATCTAAAACAATTTAATTACAAAAAGAAAAGGACGTGTATGCATCTACATAAAAGACACATAGGCCAAAAGTCACACCAAAAAAGTTTAAGTTTAACACAACCCCTTGAGGGTAAGGTGCGCGCATGTGTTTTCTTTAAATGCGCTCATTGGTAATGCGCGCTTAATTACGCTCGTTTTAGTGCGCGTTTGGATAATCATCAGTGAAAGCGCGTTGCCCTTTGTAGATAGTACCTCTATCTTCAATGAAAGTGCGTTGCACTGTGTAGATAGTAGTACTATCTACACAGTGTAACAAACTTTTTGCTTCTCCCATCAATAATGGGCGAACTATCTTTCCTCACGTGATTTACTTTTCACCAATCGTAGAGCAAGATTCTTAGTATGTGGGATATAATCAATATTATCATTATTATACATACAAAATTGAACTACAGTAAAAATGTGAAGTGCAATTCACTTTCAATTATCATTAACAAAATCTGCCATGGTTTTGCTTTATGCCATCTGCCAGCCGCCAAGGATATATTGTCATAAAAGCTATGAAGTGGCATAAATACACATAAAGATATCTCATGTAGATATGAAGTTATCTTTGTTATGGTTTGAACAACTTTAGAAAATCCCACCACAAAAGTTGACCAAAATTTCCACTGGTTGACCATCCCTTCACTGCTTAAGATTAATCCAAAGATTTAAAGTTTCTAAGATACTTCAAACTGTAACCATTACCCTAAACCGCCACCCTAACCCTATCAAAAGAATTAAAAGGACAAAACAGCAGAGCATTAAATTCAGGTACATGTATGCAAAGTTAAGTGTTAACATATAGTTTAAAAGCACCGCACCGTATACAATCAGAAGGATTAGTATTTTCTTATGGGAATTAGTTTCTTTTTTACTTCTCCATAACAATTCATTTTCCTCTTCCAAGATACCTTACCTCCTCTTCATCCACACACTCCGGCTCTTTGCTTTCTTTGCTTTCATTCTTGGGGGATATATCCTAATGTTTGAAGGTAATACATGATAAAAACAAATGAACAAACGTGATGGTATAAGGTAACTCTAAATGGCAGGGGTGATAGTGAGAGCCTTAAAAAAAAAATTGTTTTTTTTTCCCCCTCAACCATGCCCCTCTTGAGTAAAAAAAAGAAAAAAGAAAAAAGAAAAGAGGATTCGGGGGGGGGGGGGGGGGGGAATGACATCTAACAACATTCCCCCTCCCCCCTTTTGAGTAAGAACAATTTGGAAATAATAGGGAAGAATGGAGAAAATAAGGGAAAAATGAGGATAAAATCAGGATAAAATCAGGATAAAATCAGGAAGAAAAAAGAAAAAAAAATTGTAGAAAAAAAAAATCAGGAGAAAATCAGGGGGGGAAAAGAATAAAAAAATTGGGAAACTGAACTAAATCAGGTTTTTATCAGGCCTGAAATGGGGATTGGTTTACACTTACAATAGTGTTAATGATTATCCAAAATTTGCACCATGGGGCACTTTATCCAGTGTTTATTTTATAAGAGAAATAAGTTGTGAATTAATGTTACAATTGCGTTTGAGGTTAAATTTAGGGTTAGGTTGAAGTTTTTAGCCTTTGGTCAAGGGTTGTAGTTAGGAATTTGGCTGGAGTACAAAATTGACTGCAGAGCAATTGTGGCCAGAGCCAGAGCCAGAGTTAGAGCCAGAGTTGTGCGATCGTACGACTGATCTCCTTAGTTGGGAAAATGGAGAATAAAACCACAAACTTTATTTCTTTCGCAACTTATCAATTTATATTATTCAAATAAGCAGCAACACACACAAAACAGTTGGGAAAAAGAATGTAACAACAATTGTAGAGACAAAATAAAATCATAAAGATGGGAGCAGAATAAATCTTGTATATTTCATAAACACTTAAAGGTAAAGACCAGTATTGGAAACGCCCCAATTTCAAAAAATGAAATGGAAGCTCTCATTACCAATCATGTGAAAGAATATGTTTTGACTAATACATGATGATAAAAAAATTTGCAGGGAAACCGCCTACTAATTCATATATTTGGTAAATTTGTTTCTCTCATGGTCTGTGAGAGATATAGGGTAGTCCCATATACATCTTTCTGAGTATAGTGCTTGTAACTTTACGAAGAATGGGCCAAATTTCTTATCATTTTGATGATTCCAGAACCTTGCAGATGCTAGATGCTAGATGATCAACCTTTTCTGATCGATTCCACATTTCACAATGCAATCGCATGACCATAACTGGTCTTTACCTTTAACATCGCCTGTTCAGAGCCAGAAGGGCATTAACTCTCTGTTAAAGTAAATGAATGAATGGCCTTCTTGCTCCAAAGTCCAAACACACAATATATATAATATCATATCCAGTTTTCCAAGCTTAGTAACTGCCCATTAATACTTGTACATGTCCAATGTAAATGTACACGGACAGCCAAAAGGTACAGTGCTGGTATACAGTAAAGGTAAGCACATTCAAATTACCATAGTTCAGTTTCCCTACACCCTTAGAAAATTGCACAACAATGATATGTCTATTACATTTACCCCATATATAATACACTGTACATGTACCTTTCTTTATAAATCAAAATTAAAGGAAAGGGATGATTCAGAGGTTTGACAAAAAACAAAATACAAGAACATACCACAATAGACGAGCACAACACAAGTAGCTGTGTAACATACACGTACTTAAATTCTAATAATTGCATAATCGTTACTTTATATCATTGTAACACTAAACTTCAATCTTTTGCATTTTCTGTGATGATATAAAGCATTTTGTATTAATCCTACTACTTTACCAGGATGTTTCTTTGTAGGCCTAGTCCTACAGGTCAATATAATGAAATGTCTGCAATTTTTGGTCTAGATCTCTATCATCTCTTAAAGTCTTGACATCACAAAGGTCTTGGTGGATAGAATGGTCCTCTTAGAAGAGCACTGCTTTTCAATGGCATTGAAAAACGTGCACATACATGTACGCAGCCAACAAACTAAGAGCCCACAAGAATGACATGTCGGTCTGGCATGCAGTCTGGAAACTCTCATTAAGAGTCATTCACATATGATGCAGTAAACCCCCACAAAAAAAAAAAACACGGTTTTGTCACGTATAAATGAATACCGTAATTAACTGTGTATAAACCGCTCTCGTATATTAACCGCACCCCTCTTTTTTCTTTTCTTTTTTTTTGCCGACTCTGTCGGCAGCAGGCCAGGTCCGTGTTAAAAAACCCACGCAGGAAGGCCTTTCATTTAACTGCGAGGTGCAGCTGAATGTGTAAGATCATTAATGTAAATTAAAAAACAGTAGAGGACCTAGGATAGAACCTTGTGGTACGCCATGTAATAGAAGAAAAATTGGAGGAATTATTATTATAAACTACATATTGAGATCTATCAGAAAGATTACTTTCAAACCAAGACGACAGACAAATTTGAGTGTTGTTCTGTTTCCGAGTGGTGAGTCAACACACCAATTACTGAGCTGGGAGACATTGCCAGGCATAGCGCCAGGTGGAGGGGCATAAATTGAAACTTAATTTTTTTTTTTGTGTATCATGTATAAGACGCACCCGACTTTGAATTTTTTCGGCGGCAAAAAAGTGCGGTTAATACACCGTTAATTACGGTAGCAACTGCGTGCAACACAGGTCTTGCTCATATTCACTTTATAGCTCTGTGTTAGAATTCACAGACACGTGAAGCGTACTCCACTTTACGTCATCACCACAAACTGCTGACATGTTGCTACATCATATCTGAACAAGACTTAAAGAGAAGGTTGAGTTCTGGGAAGAGGTGAAAAATAATTTGTGAGCGTTATCATTCTTATTATGCAAGTGTGGAAGAACATCAGATAAGACATGTTCCCTGAAAAGCATGGCTCTTCAAATGCCTTTATATTCTAAATATGTCATGTAACTCGTAAAACTCGGGGGGTAGGTTTTTTACGCCACGTGTTCGTGTAGTCCCATATACATCTTTCTGTGTACAGTGTTTGTAACTTTACCAAGACTTGGCCAAATTTCTTATCATTTTGATGATTCCAGAACCTTGCAATACACACAAATTCTTATATGCTAGATGATCAACCTTTTCTGTTCGATTTCACACCGTTTCTTTCACAATGCAATCGCATGACCAGAACTCAACTTCATCTTTAACAGCTCGTGCCATCAACATTGTCTGCCCATAAACTGCAAAGTCCTAATATTCAAGTACTGTATACGACTTTCAAGGTGAACATAAATAAAACTTATTTATCTTGATCTTGCATTTACACTACATGATTATGTCCCTTCTTATGAAACAACAACACTGTCCATCTCTGCCCCTTACCCGCCCCCCCCCCCCACCTCTCAACCAATAAACACACAAAAATCTTGAGGGCCTGTTGCAAAAATATCACAAGTTAGCAGACATCCCCTTGAAACATGCACATCTTGTAATGTTTCATGGAAAGTCCACAAAATAATCTTATATGCTGCTTAAAGTATCGGCTTGCATGGTGATGTAGATATACAGTAACCTTACGGTTGCACCATGTGAGGGGGGGGGGGGGTTATTGGGGAGTCCTGAAAAGGACTGCCGGTAATATTTCTTTCTCGAGTGTGTGTAGTCTTGAAAAGGACTGTTGGTAATCTTTCTTGAGCTTATAGTTCTAAAGAGAACTATATGTATAGAGCCTGTTGGAGAGGATGGGTAGTAGGAGGGGCTCGACAGTCCTTTTCAGGACTTCCCAATGCTCCCCCTCTCTCACATGGTGCAACCGTAAGCCTACTGTATATCTACATCACCATGCAAGCCGATACACACATTTAATGGAACATGGCACTTTAATACAGGGGTAGGAGAGAAAAATTAGTGTTCACTTTGAGGAATACCAGATTTTATTCAGGAATGGAGACAATCTTTCAAAGAAAGTGTCTTTAAATATATAACAAGGAAGGGAATTTGATAGAAAGATGATATTATTTACAACATATGTCTTACATATGATATACATGTACAGGTGTATGTATGAATATATGCAGTTTGATACAAATGTGGTTTTGCTTTTAGTTGATAAATAGTTTCAACAGTAGCATTTTGAAAACAAAAATAGGAGAGAATTTCAAGCAAGTTGTACAATCTTGAAAGATAAACAAATTTGCACAGAACTTTTGGCTTGCTTTCAATTTCTTGTAAGAAGAATGAGCGATTATTTCATATAATTTTCTAAGCAAGAATAATTCTCATGAATTGAAACTAAAGGTATTAAGGCCAGAGAAACATGATAAAACAGATATGTTTAAACAGTACCTTGGGGGAGGGGGACATATTTTTGGTATTTAAAATAAAAAATACTGTCTTACGTGCATGATGCTTTACTGTTGATAAATTCTGGCATCAATCGATAGAATTTTATACCTACGGTATTCATCTTCTTTCTCTTAAATCAAGATTTCAAAATATTTGAAGCTTTGATTAATGTAAATTAATTCAAAAGCCAGTCAGTTCACCTGTGCAAATCAGTCACCTGTTAACCATTTTTTGTTAAATTTCTTCAATATACACCCTGTAAAAAAGAGATCACAGCAAAAATTAACCCTTAACCAAACACACATTAATTGATGTAATTCCCACTGATATGTGAAAATACATGTCCGATTCAATGAATATTGATGTTATTGTTTATTTCATTATGCAGATATGACTTACAACCACAATGCATTTAATGAATACTTTCCGATTTCAATAGTGTCCGCAAAATGCAAATCATCACTTGTCACGGCAAATCCCAAGTCAGTTGTGCATTTCTTTAATCGAAAAATGCACCAATCAAAAAAAGCAAAGCTGGGTATATTTATCCCATTTATTTCAATGAAAGCAAACTTTATGTAAAATAGAGGAGGGATAGAAATAAAATAATAAATCAAATGTTTGTGAACTATTACCTGGCCCCTTGGAATAAAAACCTGTCTTATAATCTCGTGGTTGGGAGTATGGATTGCACTTAAGTTCTTCAAAGAAAAACAAAAATAAATCATGACATAAAAGTATGGACTTAAGGCCTAACAAAAAGGTGTTGTATTGCCCTTGAGGTGGCAGAACCTGGGTTGATCGGTCAGTCGGAAATCTCTTTTTCCATTTTCTTCCTTCATTTTTTTCTCCCGTCAAAACAGCGACCGTCGTCAAAAAAACTCTAAACCGGGAACGTCGCCCAAATCTTGCTAGTAAAGTGCATGCTATACAGTACACAGGCCGGGGTCTACTTGTTCATTTCATGCATTTATGTCCCATTTAAACAAACACAATACATCTTTATTATTCATCAAACATTTGTTTTTCTTCTAAAAAACCAGTAAAATCAAAAGCTTTATTAAAAAGATGACCGTAAATGTTAAGATATTTGGGTCTGTCGCAATGGGCAATACAACATCTTTTTTTTGTTACGCCTAATGACAAAGATTATTAAATAAATACTACACAATATTCTGGAATATTAGCTCCATCATAATATCTGCATAAAGACGGACGATACAATATGGTCACAGTGAGGTCATATGGCAAATTCAATCACAATCATGGCTTTTTGCAACCTTCCATGTCTGCCATTTCAATACCTTTACAACAGTCGTCAATACAAAGTTCTACAAAAGTAGACAATTGTATATCTAAATGCATGTACTGTATATCATGACCACATACATGTACACACAAGTACATACATGTACATGTGTACATTTATATGTAGTTAAAAGTACATGTACATGTACATACGTTATGCAATCTGGTAAAGTTTTTCTGATTTTGTTGGATTTCACAGCGTGATATCATGTACTAATTCACACGTACATGTAGTTTGATTTCTAAGAATCAGATTGTATGCCAGGTAGGTATTCTGGAATGTCAAGGTTATTTCTTCCTTCTTGAAATATTTCTAGAGTCTCATCTTTGATATGGTTCCAACACATCTGTAGAACCCATAAAGATTCATAATTGATTAAAAAAACTGTCTCAAACAACAAATCTGAGGCTAAACTACAGAATACCCCACTTTGCATATCAGGGTTTAGGTTTAGGTTTAGATTTAGGTTTAGGGCTAGGGTTAGGTTTAAGGTTAGGGCTGGGATTAAGATTAAGTTTAAAATCAGGCCCTACACTAGGGTTAGGGTATTGACCCCTTGTCAAAACCGTCATGAGTCTTAGCTCGCAGATGTCCCATAGAAACACAGAAAATGGCCCCCTGGATACCAGTGTGGTGTAGTATTCTGCAGTTGATCCCCAAATTCATCATTCATTTAAAAAAAAAATTAATCTGGAAACCTTACCATCCCATCTTCTTTATCCTTGGACGTCGGTGACGGGGGAAGACCGTCTGGGTTCTCTGTCCTCCTCTTCTCCGCCTCCTCCTCTTTTATACCTAACCCTGATCTTAACTTTCATCCTAACTCTAAATCTAAGCCTTGATATGCGAGGTAACTATTGAGGTGTAGTTTTCTGCAGTTGTTCCCCTCAAAAAATCTACTCTGAGATATTAAGATCTGAAAACCTTACCATCCCATCTTCTTTGTCCTTGGACGTCGGTGACGGAGGAAGACCGTCTGGGTTCTCCGTCCTCCTCTTTTCCGCCTCCTCCTCCTTCAAGACCTTGAGCCACATCTCATGGTTCTCCTTGAGGTGCTTGGTCAAGATACTGACCATCTTCCTCGTCTTCTGCTGACCGGCGCTCTTTAGCCTCAACTTGGAATCACCTGATTATAATGGTAATAACAATGGGGATGATAATGATAGTGTTAATATAGCTATAAGTAATATGACTTAATGCACTACCATCTTCCTAGTCTTCTGCTGACCGGCGCTCTTTAGATTCAACTTGCTATCACCTGGTAAAGATGGTAATAAGGAAAGCAATAATAGCATCAATTTCAAAGTGCAAAGTAGTATCATTGGAGGCACTACAATAATATACTTTCTTACAAATACAACTACAGTCAATCCTGTCTTAGTGGCCATCTCTCTATAGTGGTCACCTTTCTATAGTGGTCATGTATTTTGTATCCCTCAAATAAGAAACTTGTTGTAAAACCTGTCTAGAAAGACCACCTGTCCACAGTGGCCAATTTCTCTCTTTGCATTGGATAGCCTCAATAGCAAGGTTTGACTGTATATGCTACAGATACATTCAAGGCTATAGAGATTAAATTACATACTTGTTTATATAGGGAATACAACATTAGTCTATCTGTGTATTAAAACAAAAACTCAGTTTCTAGGCGATTCATGTTTATTTTGTTACAGAGTTGCTTGTTTCACAAAAGTGGTGCAGCATGTCCATGTTATACTGTATTATAACATTAACAAGTTACAATAACTGTTATAAGCTACTGAAATTATTGCATTTATGATGTGATTGACTGAGAGCAAATTTGTCACAGAATTTTAGAATTTGTTAATGACAACAAGTATTTTTAATGAAACAAGGCCCTATTTATCTCAATTCCATCACAAACTGACCATCATTAGATTCTTCATCATTGTCATCATCATCATCATCATCGTCATCGTTGTCCTTGTCGCTGAACTCTCTCATCTCACTTTCTTCCTTGGGTTCTGACTGCGCAGCATCTACAGATGGAACAAGAGAAAGGCAGGGTGTGAAAAATGAAAGTGCAAGCAGAGGAAAGAAGCTGATGAAGGCGGTACAAAAAGGAAGCATGTATATGCTGGACATTTAAATGTATAAATGTAGATGTCATGTAGGATTGTACAGGTGTTATACAGACTTTGTTTTTGCTACTTTGCCATGCCTTTGATTTCATCAATTTGCTTCTTCTTCTTCTGCCTCTTCTTCCTCTTCTTCTTCTTCCTTCTCTTCTTCACCTTCTCCTATTTATCATTATCAAATTATTTTCTTTACTCTTTATTAGGTAGTGAAAAATGTATCTAAGGTGGGATCATACTACACATGGTCCAAAAAATGGGATTTGTCATAACTGTGAAATAACCTACCCAGATTTCTTTGCAAACAGCAATCTCTGGATACAGAAAACATCTTAAAACTCACCTCTTCGGTTGTAAACATAATTGTAAAGCGCATTGTAAAGACGGTAATATATCTGATTAATATGCGTCTGTAAAAACCCAATTTAAACACACACAAACCATTTGCATTGATTAGCTACATTAAATACTGTAAGGGTGTAGTCATGACGTGATAAACTTCTAAACATTTAAAGCTTATGGAAATCAAAATTAGAGGAAAACAAAATATTTTCACACTTTGATGGACATACATAAATTCAATAGAAGTGTGTTTAACATATTTTGAAAAAAGGCAGTCACTGTTGGAATTTTTTTGAAATAAAATTTCCAGGAATCTATATGTGATAGCCCCATCAGTGGCATGCACTGCACTGTTGAAATACAGATAAATACACAAGGTGTCATAAACACGAATTATATGAAGAGTCAAACTACTGGTATACCAAGTTGTTGGTGCTGATAGTTTAGAAACATGACATTTATGGTACATGTATATGCATTCATCAGTTTGAAGGAATAAAGGATCCCTCAGTTGTTCAATTTCATACTGAATGTTGCACACTATTCCATAATATCGAGCCACCAACTGGACAAGAAGGACGATACTTACGGTCGTCATCCTCCTCATCGAGCCATCGTCCAGGGAGTAGTCCGGCCGATCCGTAAGCATTGCAGAGGGGTGCGACCAGGTGATTGATGAATCCTTCTTGGAGTTTGGCAAGCTGTGGTGCGTTGCGGTCCATGTAGGGGGACACCGTCAGGCCTAGGTTTCTCTCATCATCACCCTATGAAAAAAAACATTAAGATCGCAAAAGATTGAAACCGTGAAATAAACTACACCACATGAAACTTTCAATATATCATAGATTTAGTGATGACAGAATAAATACTGGTCCTCGCGCATACCGTACATGTATGTCTCTTTTAACTTTACTCATGTGCATCCAGCTCTAAAGTGGCCCAAGATCTGGTCATGCGATTGCATTGTGAAAGAAATGGCGTTAAATCGATCAGAAAAGTTGATCATCTAGCATATAAGTATTAGTGTGTACTGCAAGGTTCTGGAGTCATCAAAATGATAAGGAATTTGGCCTAGTCTTGGTAAAGTAACATACACTGTACACAGAAAGAAATATATGGGACTACACAAACATGTGGCAAAAAACTCAGCCCTTATTTATAAGCTGTTACTTGTCATACCTAGAATATGAAGGCATTTAAAGAGCCATGCTTTTCAGGGAACATTTTTTTTCTCTGATATTTTTCCACGCTTGCATAATAACAATAATAACGCTCACAAATTATTCGTCACCTCTTCCTAGAACTTAACCTTCTCTGCCGGGTGAACACTTTGTCTGATGTTGGGTGGCTTTCAAGAATATCTGCCTACATCCTATTGTCTTTTTTCTTGCATACCTGTTCGTAGAACTCCTCTGATATCCTGTACGTCCAGTTACAATGGAGATCTTTGATCTTGGTCGGTCCGGAGATATCGGCCAGCTTGATACACATCTGACAGACCAGTAAACGGTCACTCTCCACTGCCCAGTTGATGCCCGGAGCATCTACATCATTGACCTATCAGAAAGAAAAGAAAAAAATAGAAATCAGTAATTTTATAGGTCCACTACCAGTTTTCATTTAATCATATTTGTACCCTGGGCTACAAGTAATTTATATTTTATGCAACCAGCCGTGTTTTAAAGTTTAAAGTCTTTTATCTGTTATGACTGTTGATCAACTGTCTAAGTTATGGCATTAATCTTTTCTTTCCTTTTTTCTTTCTTTCTTTCTCCCCCCCCCCCCCCCCAACGAAAAAAATAGAAAGAAAAGGTACAAGTAGAAAAGTTCAAATGTAGAGGTCATAGAGTGCGTGGTATTGAGACAACCAAGAGATATCAATAAATATGTGCAAACATGAACCTGTATGTAGAGAGTCAGTGGACAAAGAAGAGAGAGAGAGAAAGAGAGAGAGAGAGAGAAAGAAAGAGACAGACAGAGAAAGACAGATAAAGAGAGAGAGATAGAGAGAGAGAGAGAATATGAGAAAGAGAGAGCAGGGGAGACATTACTTTTAATAAACCTTTTTTCTTGCTACATGTAGGAAAAGGGAACAGATAAAGGAACAAACAAAGCCATATGAGAGCATCTGGCAAACAAAAATGGAAGAGTCATATTATAAAAACCACAAATCTCCTAGAAACTTGCAATGAAACTCATACGAGAGCTTGACCTTTGCTGACCTTTGAGTTGAACTCCACCAAGAAGTCAAAATGTCTCTTGAGGTCCGTGGCGAGGATGTACTCGACCACCAGGAAGCGGAATCGTTTGAATTCGGCGATGTCCAGCGACGACAGGAAGTTGTACTCTGGCTTGGAGAGGAAGAGGGACCATGACGCAGCGGCGTGGTGGTTCTCAAGAACTGACCGGTCATTGTACAGAATGGCCTGTAGAGAGAGAGAGGGAGAGAGAGAGATGAGAATATTGATAAGAAAGTGAAATTTCTAGGAATTGTTGAGTGCATTAGAATTCTACGCACCTGGTACGGTGAATGTTTCCAAAATGATTAAACTTTTGATATGATATATTCTCAAAAATAAGATTAAGAATCAAACAATCAATGAAGTAATGAATCATTAATGAACTACTGACTGATTGATTGATTGATTGAATGAATGAATGAATGCCTTTATGAATGCTTTCATGAATGCCTGTATGAATGAATGAATGACTGACTGAATGATCGATTAATTGAATGAATGCCTTTATGAATGCCTGTTTGAATATCTCTATGAATGAATGAATGAATGAATGAATAAATGACTGACTGAATAAATGACTGACTGACTGACTGACTGACTGACTGACTGACTGAATGAATGAACGATCGATTGAATGAATGCCTATATGAATGAATGAATGAATGAATGAATGATTGACTGACTGACTGATTGATTAATTGAATGAATGCCTTTATGAATGCCTGTTTGATTATCTGTATGAATGAATGAATGAATGAATAAATGACTGACTGAACGATTGATCGATTGAATGAATGCCTTTTTAAATGCCTGTATAAATGAATGAATGACTGACTGACTGACGGACTGATTGATCGATTGAATGAATGCCTCTATGAATGCCTTTTTGAATATCTGTATGAATGAATGAATGAATGAACGAATCAATGAATCAATGAATCAATCAATGAATGACTGACTGACTGACTGACTGACTGACTGAATGAACGATCGATCGATTGAATGAATGCCTGTATAAACGAAACAATCGATCAATCTATCAATCAATCAATTAATAACTCAACAAACTGATCGATCAATAAATCAATGGATGAATAAATCAACGGATGAACCTAAGGCACAGAGAAGACTATCTTCCACTCACCTGTGATGCACTGGTAGCAACCAAGAATGCATTCGTCCTGCCAGGATGATCGTAGTCATGCATGGCAGCCGCTGTGTAGAGCGCCATCAGCTCCAGCGCGGGGAGATTCCCTGCAAGGATGCCGTAGCTCGAATCTGACGATATACTCGCTCTTGGCGTCACGGTTGGTGTGTGAAAACTGTCTGGGTCATCTGGATAAAGAAAATGGTCAAATGCTGATGATTTAAAGATGGGTTCAAAGTTTATTCAAATTTTATTCAACACTCTTTATAAACTTTTTTTAGATTTAAGTAAAGCCATTGATACATTAGACCACACTATCTTTAATTGAAAAAATGATATTATTATGGTATTTGTGGAGTAAACCTACTAAGCAAGTAAGCTTAGGAAATCATACTGGACAGACGGACAACATTTTCTAGCCTACAGATGGTGTAAATACTTGATGAAATCTTTGTTATGACAATAAACCATCTACGCAACGGTGGTTCTTACCGTCCTGTCGCCCCATAGGATCGAGGTCCTCTGGATTGACCTGGGTGAAGCCAGGGATCTGCTGCGTTGACATGTAGTAGCAGCCATGAAGGACGTCAGCAGCGTGGATACGATTGTGGTCTGACAGAGAGAGAAGACAAGAGAACAATGGATAGTCATGGCTAGATTGATATCGGGCACATTATCTGTAGCGCCGTCTATGTAGAAATTTTATTCCGTGGCTTATTAATTATTACCCCGGCTTTAACCTAGTTGCCATTACAGCGCTCTAGCATTAATTCCTGCCAGGTACCCATTTACCTCACCTGGGTTGAGTGTGGCAAATGAAGATTAATGCCATGCCAAAGGACATTAGCGCCGTATCGGAGATTGAACCACGTCCTTTGAATTGCATGTCAAGTACTTAAACTACTCGACCGGGTAATAATAATTAAAATGTAAAGCGCTTAGAAACCTGTATGTTCTTTCATACTGCACAATGTAGAAGAAATAAAATTAAATGAAACTCAACAGCCCTGAGAAAGGGCCTTTGTCAATACAAATTTCTATGAAACGTAAACCGATGATCAACGAAAACTTACAAGGTTTATGCCTGTAGCCGCATTCCAGCGCTCGGAAATAGTTCATGAATTCTGGGAGAGAGATTCGGAATGTTTCAAAGATGCCAGCATCGGTGAACAATCGGTATGCAACCTGTTGGGAAAACAAAGCAATGTAATGAAGAATGAGAGGTGCAATATATCCAATAGACCAGTTTACTTACATATTCAAATTTTGTGCATACTTTTTCAACAAAGATTGTTCTCGACAACCTTAAAACCTTCCTGAGGCTTGTCCGACAAAGCAACAAGTAATGAATGCGGAATGGATTCCAAGTATTGCAGTTCATTCATTAATAAAAGTTTAATGGAATAGCTCATCACTCTAGGTCCCCAGGAAAAAAAATCCATAAATCAGGCATGAGAATGGATTTCGTTGATAAAAACTGAAAATTATAAACATCTTTAAAAATATGACCACACAATTGACACTCATTTTAAACTCTTATACAGTCTTCCCTATTGGTCTTTTCTGAGAAAATCATGACAAATTTAGATAACTGAAATATATTATAGCATTTGCATGGAATTCTTTCAGTAATTTTTGGATGTGAATGTCCATGTTCATGTTGGAAGTAAGCGCACTCTCGGCAGAACAAAAACGGTCTGTGGTAGGAAGCTTTCTTCCCCTATCTCTCATTTTCCCTCTGTAATACTTACTTGACTGAGTACTTGGTTTTCTGATAGTTCTGAGATTTCAAATATGGGGAAGTCCCATTCAACCAACCTTCTTAAGATCTCTCTCTCTCTGTCTCTCTTTCTCTCTTCCTATCTTTCCTTCTGTAATACTTACTTGACTGAGTACTTGGTTTTCTGATAGTTCTGAGATTTCAAATATGGGGAAGTCCCATTCATCCAACCTTCCTAAGAGCTCCCTGCACTCTCCATGTGTTGGATCTACTTCTTCTTCTAGGCTTTCATCTACTGCTAACTCCTCATCCTGCATGGCAGATAGACAGATAGATGGATCGATAAATAGATAGATGAAAGGATGGATAGATAGATGGATAGATAGATAGATAGATAAATAGATGAACATATAAAGAAAGATAGACAGATAGATGGATAGAAAGATAGATAGTTGGATAGAAAGATAGGTAGATGGACAGATACAAAGAAAGATAGACAGATAGATAAATAAATACACAGATGGATAGATAGATAGAAAGATAGGTAGATGGACAGATACAAAGAGAGATAGACAGATAGATAAATAAATACACAGATGGATAGATAGATGGATAAACAGATAGATGGATGGATGGATGGATGGATAGATAGATAGATAGATAGATAGTTAGATGGATGGATGAATGGAAGGACAGATAGACAGGTTGATAGATATTAAGAAAGATAGATGGAAGGAACATAAATATATAGAAAGATAGATTAAGATACATGTAGATACATGTACATACAAGTATATAAATAATGTACTTTTCTAATTTTACACAAGGCTTTTGAGATTATTGCTCAATATTCAAATATTTAGACAGATTTGCCGATACATGTATGCATTGTTGTTTTTATTTTTCCTTTTTCCTTTTTGTTGTTGTTGCTTTTTATCCTTTCTTTATCATACTTATAAATGAATTTCAACATCAGCTCAAAGAATGGAGAAAACAAATATAATAATTTCTTAGATTTTCCTACCTGCTCTTCTGTCGCTTCCGTGATGGCGGTCTCGTCTACTGGTATCGTCCTAGCCATGCCTTCCTCAATGATAGTAGCATGTTCGCTTATTGTCACGCTACCCCTCTTTTTGCTGCTCCCCCTAGGTTTAAGAGAGGACCCAAGGGTTGAGGGTTCTTCACTTTTCTCAACATTGTTTGTATTATTATTGTCTGTTGGCGCAGCGGTGCTTTCTGCATTCTCTACGTTCTCTGATGCATCTTTCACGGCGTCGTCGGGCGTTATCGTCAGCGTGATCGGCTGATTTGATAGCTCCTCCAGCCGCGACGTGTCATCGTCGCTTTCCTCCGCGGCGTCCAACGAGTCGTCTAGTCTTGGCGATTGTCCATTTTCAGTTTTGAGCAACGTGGGCATCGAACTGCCTCCGAGCGATCCCCGTAGCGAGGAGGACCGTAACCCTTTCCCGTCGGGCGGCATGAGATTCGGGGATGGCGATCGTTGACCGAGACCTCCCGTGCCGACGGAGAACGACCGCGACTTTAAGGAGCCATCTCCTCCTCCTTGCCGCGATAATGGGGCGGGGCTACTGGAGCGACTGTTGCCAGGGCTTGGGGAGGATGTGAGATCGCGAGAATGGCGGAAACTTGAGCTGCGGGTCCTGAGAGGCTGCGGTTCTAACGTTGGCATACCTGCAAAGATGTTGAAATCAGACATAAAAGTTAGATGTATTTAAACACATTAAAGAACATGTCACTTTAAAAAAGAAGCGCCGTCTGATATCAAGTTGTTTTAATACAAGCAGAAAATGAGAGAAACAGGTTTAATAAGCCTCGGTCACAAATGCCATTAAGAAACTGCTACAAACGCGGTACGAATGATTTTCAGACAATGGACATTCAGAAAGACAATGAAAAAACAGGGAGATTCGTATGAACGCATCGTTCGTACTATACAAAAAGAAATCAGGAATCTCTTTTTGCCCTTCAGAAAATGGTAAGTCATACATGCACCCCAAATATGATTAATGCAAACATGTTTCTGCTCAACCCCTGTACGAAACAAATCTTTTCCGTCAGCAATAACTAAGAAAATGAAACTTTATGAAATTTTCAGCACAGAACAAGATACATGTATGTCACAGTGCTGCCAATTTATTTATCACTATTGAAAACTTCCCCTTTAAATACGAGTCATTCAACAACAAAAAGCTACCAAGAGGGTTATCGTTTATTAATTGAAAAACAACTTCAGCATGTGCTCTTGTCACTTGCCCTCATTCCAAGTTATTCTTCCACTCATACCAGTGAACTTTTCCAGGTAATGAGAAACTGAAATGAAATACTGTGTCTTCTTTATAAAAAGGCTTAATGTTAAAATAATGCAGTTCACGTTCAAATAATATCTCATCTGACTTTGAGGCACAAGCAAAAAACCTCCATACTATACTACAGATTATTAGAGTATGTCTTATCAACATGTCGATAAGCACATCTTTAAGTATTATAAGTAAATAAATTTGTTTTCATTTTATTTTTTAAAATCAGACAATAAATTATCTTGAATCTTGAATTGAATCTTGAAATTAAAATCAACCAAATTTGTTTTTCTTTCTTTTTCATGTAGGTACAGTGGGTAAACTATTTCCCATATCAAAAAATGTATTCTGTTCTGAAAATCTCTTAACAAGTTTTGTTCTTATGCTTTCATTTGTGAGCACTTACTAAATTTTTGAAAGGGATTTTTCCATTCTGCATCAGATTTTATGTAATTTCAAATCTTTATTATGTTAATCACATTTTGTTTAATTCGTTTTTTGGAAGACATCTCAAACAAACTCATTTATCTGGGTTTTTATAACTTCCCTTCTTCCATTATTGTTTAATATTTTAATGTACTCATATACATTTTAGTGAAAGATTTTGCATGTTATTTACAGTACTATTTGCAAAAAATTGTGTTCATGTAATGTGATTTTATGGAAATGAATAAACTAAATTAAAAACTAAATTAAATTGACTTGATTTTTTAAAACTAATAGAGCCTTTGCCTTAATTTTTCCATTTTCAATGAAATAATCTTGACAGCACGGTGGACTTCCTTTTACTAGGGCATGTTAATTGGACTGCAGACGAGTGTTTGAGACGGTGTTGCCAATTTGGGAAAGAGTCAAGTAGTGTTTGAACGACACTACAGGGCCGTCCTCATTCTGTCTTATCGACAAGATAACCCGTTTGTACGGCAGGCATCTCAATAGGCCTGTCCTCATCAGCTCGAGATTGCCATATAGCCCGCTATTTCTGATTTGGGAAATAATCCCAAAGTTACGAATCGCGTCTTCATCAGCTCGAGACTTAACCTCGAAACTTGAAACTCGAGCTCAAGACATTAGCTCGAGATATTTTGCTCAGCGTTCCCACATACATGTAGTACGAGTCTTCGGGGTGGTGAAGACGCACCGGACAAATAGCAGGATATTTTGGGATGATTATCTCGACCAAATATCCCACTAATTGTAACTTCGGGCTGATGAAGACGCAAATTAACTGGATAATTGCGATCGGGATAGTTGAAATAGCGTGATATTTGGCAATCTTGAGCTGATGAGGACAGGCCTAATGCTCTCAAGGCGTTTCTCTGTTTATGTCGTAAACAAGGAGTGATGACGTAGTCACCGGCTTTCAGCGAGAGGAAACGACGTAATTGGCTGCATGGTCGTGTGGAATTGTCAGTCAAAATTAACGTAATTCAGCCAATTTTCTAATGCTAAGGATGCATGGCTATGCAACTCGGCGATAACATATCAGACACATTACAAAATATCCTGAACTTGGAAATATATACCCTCTTTTGAAGCAGCAAGACTGATTACAGGGTAAATTGTTTTTAAGCTGTTGTGTTTTATGCCTGTTCAGCTGTATCAGACACATACAAAGTATCCTGAACTTGGAAATATATGCCCTTCTTTCAAGCAGCAAGACTGTAGACAGGGTGAATTGTTTTTAAGCTGTTTTGTTTTATGCCTGTTCAACTTCACCTTAACAATTGCATGTATACAAAGTATAAGTTTATTTTGTTCATTAATTCAGATTGACTTATCTTCCCTTGCAGTGACAAATCTGCTTTGAGCAACCACCTGTCTCTTAAGACCATATTTTTATGTTTCCCTTGAACAGAGTTTCTCATTGAAATATGAATTAAAGTAACTTGAACCTAAAACTAAACTAAAAGTCTAAAACACAACCAATTTTTCTTGTAACCTCAGTAATACATTTAAAAAAGAGATCTAAATACTCTATACTTTCTGTGCGTGATGATAAAGAAGAAAGACAAATGGAGAGAAAGTGAAAGAGAGAGAAAAAGAAAGGGAAAAGAGAGAGGGAGAGGGGGTGGATGGGGAGGGGAGAGGTATACATGAACGGAATGAATGGGCAGAGGGGGGAAGAGAATAAAGAGAGAGAGGCAGAGAGGGAGAGGGAGAGAGAGAGAGAAGGAATGATGATGGGATTTCTCTTTGCATGTATATGCTACGATATAACTGTAATACTTCCTTGTATCAGTATCAGATACATGCAAATGTACCCTATACATTTTTGTGCAGATCTTTTGAACTTCATAGAGGGGTGAAGTGTGACGTCATCAAAAATCTATTTTTAGAATTTATCAATTTTTTCTTCATTTTCCGAAAAAGCATACAAAATAATGTCAAAATGTTGAAAACCACTTAAAAAGGTAAGTATTGGTGAGATGACCATCTGAATGAATAGATCTCCTATAGGAAATATTTTTATTTTATCTATTGGAGTTCTTTAGCTTTCCATTACTTCTATATATTTTTTCTTCTTATTTCTCATTATTCTTCACATTTTTACTTTAATAGACCCACCTGTAGCTGAAGTTGTAGTGGTCCAAGTTGTTGACATCCGTCGTATCAAACTCGGTGGCAGACTTCTTCTTAATCTCTGTTCAGAAACAAATTACACAAAGAGTATAGTTATGAAATAAGGTTCAAAAGAAACTGTTAGAAGATAGAGAATCCTAATTAAGTGATGTTGCTGTAGTGTCTGATACATTGTAGAGAAGCAAAATGGATGCTCAGACAGTGGATAAACATTCAATAAACAAGATCACAAAAAGACTTTGGGGTCCACTGCACTATTTATAGCTACTTGCGCACTCTTTATAGCAAACAATGGCTAATCGGTGACCATTGGTCCCCCATGATCCTCTTTTTCTTATTTTAAGTGAGAGCTGATTTAATGAGATAACCACCTGTCAGTGACCTTGCAGGGTGGTCTAATCCCTCCTGTAAACTAGTACAGATGGGCTTTAAAGCAGGTGTTTAGGCCATAATTACATTGAGAAAAAAAACTAAGGACCAAAGACCTCACCTTTGGTAACGACAGAGGGCGCTCCCCTACATAGGGCGAGTCATCAATATCCGACGTGTACATGCTCTCACTGAGGGCCACCAAGGGGCTGATCTTGGGCCTCTGCAAGGTGTTGTAGTTGGTGGGCGGACTCAAGAGGGAGCTAACCGCCTTCAAACCGCTGACGACGTTCGGTGGGAGGGTGGAGTCGGCCAGCATGTCCATGATGAGGCCGTGCGCCTCCTGCATGACGGCGATGTCGACCACGGAATTGCATACCTGGACAAGAGAGAGAGAGAGAGAGAGAATTAAATTTTGTGTTCTGCATAATGGTATACAAAATAACTTGTCACCACTCACAGTACAACATTGCATGACATTATCACAACTTTATATGAAGGCTATGAATGCCATTAACGGTTATGTCTACCACTGAATTGCATACCTGGAGAAACAGAGAGAGGCAGAGAGAGAGAGGGGGGGGGGAGAATCAAATGTTGTGTTCTGCATAATGGTTTAAAAAGTAACTCCGCATCACTCACAGTGCATGACACTGTCACAACCTTATATGTTCTTGTCTGAGAAGAAAAAAAATTATACATGAGCAGTGAGCAACTTAGCTTTGGAAAGCTCTGAAAGAGTACTGGGACAGGGACTAATTTGCATACGGTCTAATCTTCAATTAGTCTTCTACTCATTTCATATATTGTTTATTTAGTATAATAACCCGTTACCGGTAGTCTAATTCCCAGTTTGTCTACTGCCCATTTCATCCATAAGGTCTAATAATCATTTAATGATTAAATGATTATTAGACCATGTGGATAGCAGACAGGCTGGGAGTAGACCAAAAAACAACAAACCGGTAATAGTCAGGTGGTCGTCTCATAGTCAGGTGGTCGTCTCATAGTCAGGTGGTTGTCTCACTAATCCAGGTGTTAAGCAGGGCTCCACATTGACTTCTGTCTCTTGGAGTGTGTATGAGGTCGATTTGTCTATTAAGGGACACCTGTTTGATTTTTGGATTGGTGACGCAACCAGAACTAAAATTGGAAGCCTTGGTGAACCACATCCCTTTTAGAGCGCGTTTATCTAGGCTTGCCACTAGATATGTACATATCGTACCCCACTATCGAACCCCACTATCGTACCCCACTATACGATCGTGATTTGCGGGATGTCGCGTTTATCGACCCTTCACGATTCAAAATAAAGGCCTTGTGTCTGCCCAGCTGTTTTGACCCGGGAAGCAGACAGTTTCTCGGAGGTCAACTTCACACGTATGCTTGTACACAACACCTGGGTGGTCATATTTGTATGTGAGGTTCAAAACAGCTTTGCGTTTATCGATCTCTCAGAAACGTGATTCTGGCTGTATGTCACATTCAAAACGCACCTTTTTGCGTCTTTAGATATGCCCATATCTAAAGACGTTTGAAAAAGGCTTTGCGTTTATCTACTTCTAAATTTGCCTGAAAGACGTTTGAGAAACCTGATTCTAGCCAAAAATTTGCTAGATAAACGCAACCTTAGTGTCAAGCCTAGTCCAGGTTCTGTCCTTTTTAAATTTTATTTTCTCACTTCAATCATAATTTTTCTCCTCCCTTACATCCCACACAAAGTGCAAAGTCTCCCTGAAAATACACCTCATCCAGTGGAAGAATCAAAGGACTGTCTCCGTTCTAGCATTGAGGGCGAGCTATTTTCTCAGCTGATGGGGCGCGTGACACGGAAACAGTCTAGACAGTGGTCTATGTCAAGCCCTGAAGTACAGGTGGTAGATGACCAGGTGGGTGTTTCACAAAGACTAAGATTGACTTAAGTTGGACTAAACTATGGCAGGCCGTTCAAGCCACCGTTTGCTCTCACCATTGTTGAAGAAAAAAAAGTCTTAAATATATAACTTAAGTTATATAGCAGAAATAAGCAGAATCCTGGACTCTCCGAAAGTCTGATAGAGATAAGCTTGAGGTATTTGAAATGAGGTGTCTCCGGACCATCCTTGGAGTTCACCTAATGGACAAGATAAGGAACGATGCGATCAGGCAGAGACTGAATGTCCCAAGCACCATATGCGAGGATATAACCAAACGTCGCTTGAAATGGTTTGGCCATGTTTTACGCATGCCGCATCACCGCCTACCATACCAAGCATTCCAAAATGACTTTAATGGACGCAGACCACAAGGACGCCCTCCAAAGAGATGGAAGGACCAGGTTCAATGCGATGTGGGATTATCCACACAAGAGGCAGAGCAACGAGCCCAGGACAGATCAGACTGGAGCATGATTTCTCGAAGGGGAGCAAGGGGACACACCGTCCTATGCACCTAAGTCAAAGTCAAAGTTACAAATTTAAGTAACTTTTTTTTCTTCAACAATGAACTACCAACAAATTTCAATTCTGTAGATTTGTGACGTCTCTTGAGAGACCAATGGTGAGAGCAACAAGTGGCATGGACAGCCTGCCATAGTTACGTTTAACTTAAAGTCGATCTTAGCCTTTGTGAAACACTCCCTAGGGGTATTGTCCTAGAGTCACAATAATACAGTTCAAAGAACCCTCTCGTACATCGGTTGGAAAGTTGTTTGGAGTGAACGTGTTGCTGTCAACAAGGAGGTACATGTAGGCTATTCAGACAAGAGGGATTTACTGGTATATGAAGCTTGTATAAAGAAATATTGTACAGTCAAATCTGTTATACCGTTTTGTATGATATCGAGGGTTAAGTGACACAAAGACTTAACTCCATATTTTGCCAAAATGAGTATTTGATATCAAAATATTAAGAAAAATGTGGGCTTTCCAGGAAACACAAAGACTAAATTTCGCCCAACACCACATTAAAGTCAAAGGCTAGTGAAACATAGACCTAACTCCTTACGGCCCAAGTGCTCAGTGACACTTAAACCACTTTTTCTCAGAATGGCCAAAATGGAGTTACGTCTTTGTGTCACTGGCTCCTCGATATGATGTTCAGACTTGAGCAGGACCCTGATTCTTTATCAAGATTTCGTTCAAAATGATGCTCAAATATGTTTTGTTATATGTTTTGTTTAAAATTGTCTATGTCATTGTTATATAGATATAAAGTGAATTTTTGTCGTCTGAACGGAGGCTAACTGTTGATCTAGTAAACGTATTTTGATCAATAAGGAGACAGTAAACACCCCTGGGATGGTGCTATCAGCGGTCACAATTAATTAATGACCACACTTCAGCATCAGACAGACAGTCTGTCTGCTTCCAAACCTGGTTATGTGCCAGAAACAATGCACAAGATTAAAGGCATATTCCCTACTTAATAAACAAGGGCGGATTGTAGATCAGTGCCGTCATGACAAGTTGTCATGACGTCACAATAGGCCTGTCTTCATCACACCGAAGTTGCAAAATAACTCGCTATTTTAACTACCGGTAGCCCAATCTCAAATTAGCCAGCTAATTTGCGTCTTCATCAGCCTGCAGTTGCAATTCGAGGGTTATTCGGTCGAGAAAATATCTCAAGATCTCTTGGTCTTGGTTCCAAGATAGCCCGCTATTTGGGAAATAGCAGGCTAATATGCGCCTGTCTTCATCAAGTTTGTGATGAACGTATCGGTCTGGTGAAGACGCAATTTTGAGCTTATGAAAAATATCCAGAGTCTGAAAATAGCAGGATATTTTGTAACTTTGGTCTGATGAAGACAGGCTTTAATGGGCAACAATCTTATTTTGCGGTGTCCTTATTTTCAATTGCACATCTTTATATTTGGTTTGTATGATGCAGTGATCGACACTAGGAACCCAGGACACATGGGCACCAAAAATCCATGTCCAGAGCACTCCAGACCCCAATTTGTAAAAGATTTTACCGTAAAACAGTGCATCTTTTCTATTTTTTGTGATCATTATGCAAACGTTTATCAATATCCTTCATGATTTTTGCCAGGAAACTGCAATTAGAGACAGCTGAGTGTTTGCCGATCCTACACCCTCTCCTTTCCCCTGCCTCAGTAGTATTGCAACACAGTCTGACATCACTGGTGAAGCGTACACAGAAATCTCAGTCTTCAAGGGATCGTTTAACATTGTTAAATCTGAGATGCACCACCCTACGTGTTATCAGAGTCTGTGATATGGTGTTATATTGAAGCCCTAAAAAAATTGCGCTTCAAAATGATCAAGAAGAGCCTCAAAAAAGTAAAAACCTTTGAATGACCGGTTTTACCATACTTGTTTTCCCCAATAGACTGTAGTGTTATGAAGTAAACGCAAAATTTGATTTTGATTTTCAATCATAAATATAATGATAATCAGACAGGCGATCAGCTTGTAAAAGTCATGGGGTTCCTGACTGACCTTAAGGTTTATAATTATTGTTGCAGAATGACCTAAATCAAGGATTTGTTTAAAGGATTTAAGAAAAAGTTATCAGATCCCTTTAAGTACAGTCAAGTTCCATTTGTGGCATATAACAAGAGCTTAGTTCAACGTGATGGTTTTGAGAAAAACAAGCGTATTCAATTTCACCATCATGCTAGATATTGATTTGCAATGAAATTGGTACTTGTAGCTGTTGAAATCAAGTACAATGTATGTGCCATCCATGCAAATAAAAATCAGTTTCGCTTTCGAACAATTTCATTTTTAAAGAGAACAAAAAGAAAGAAAAAAAAAACTGATGTAGTATAAAATTCTGATCCGATACATCAAAACCCCAGTGCGACTTAGATTCCATGCGCTCCTTATTCTACACAAGCATGTATGTGTCCGTTGACTCGTCTACTCAACAAGTCATTTTTATGTTTACAGAGAGTGTATTTAAATTGTAAAATCGTTACTGTATCTCCTTGAAGAAGTAATATATTCCCAGCTCCTATGTTAAAAGATAGTATAGCCACATGCAACCCCGTACATTAAGAGCAAAACATGTTCTGGTGATGGGTAAACTTCAATACCTGTGAAATTTAGGAGAATTAAACGTATCGAGAAAGACAGAGAAAGAGATACACTGTCGGCCTGCAAGATTGCAAGGGCTTTAGATTGCGCTTCTGTAAGCTTGCGGGGCATGTCTTCTTGGCCTGCAAGCTTGCAGCAAGTTTGTTGTAAGGTTGCGAGCAAGTTATGAAAGCATAAATTTGGATTGCAAGCTTATAATTGCCTGCTTTGCCTGCAAGCTTGCAGCAAGTTTGCCGCAAGCTTGCAACAAGTTTGCTGCAAGGTTAAGTTTCTGTAATGGTAAAGAGAGAACAGGGTATCCCACTCCTGACATTTCATGACACTTGCTAGCACCTGAACATCCTACAACGTCATAGTCCAAAACCTACTTTCGGTAAATGAGGGTCATGCAGGGACAATGACGTTATTACTGGTAAACTCAAATTCCTTTAAAATTTAAGAAAATCAAAGAAAGCGGGAAAAAAAGAGATGTAGAGAGAGAGAAAGCAGAGTAATATCCCAATCCTGACACTTGATGTTAATCGCTAGCACCTGAACATCCTACAACGTCATCATCCAAAACCTACTTTCGGTAAATGAGGGTTAGGGACAATGACGTTATTACTGGTAAACTCAAATTCCTTTAAAATTTAAGAAAATCAAAGAAAGCGGGAAAAAAAGAGATGTAGAGAGAGAGAAAGCAGAGTAATATCCCAATCCTGACACTTGATGTTAATCGCTAGCACCTGAACATCCTACAACGTCATCATCCAAAACCTACTTTCGTTAAATGACGGTCAGGGACAATGACGTTATTACTGGTAAACTCAAATTCCCTTAAATTTTAAGAAAATCAAAGACAGAGAGAAGTAAGAAATGGAGAGAGAACAGAGTACGGGTAATATCCCACTGCTGCCACTTCATGATAATCGCTAGCACCTGAACATCCTACAACGTCATCATCCGAAACCTACTTTCGTTAAAAGAGGGTCAGGGATAATGACGTTTACATACCTGTAAAATTGAAGAAAATCAAAGACAGCGAGAAAGAAATGGAGAGAGAAAGAACAGAGTAATATCCCAATCCTGACACTTCATGATAATCGCTAGCACCTGAAAGTTCTACAACGTCATAATCTGAACCATCCTCTTGTGAAATAAGGGTCAGGGACAATGACGTTGACAAGGTCATTGATGTGCATCCTGCAAGAAAATGGACAAAGCTCAAGGATATCAGCTGCCATACCCTTGACCTAACTTCACACCTAGACAGCCTCGTTTAGACACAACAAAATAAACGGTTTAAAAGAATACCACCGTAGAAAAATAGAAAAAATAGGACATTCCTACCAGTGACTGAATGGCAAAGGCTAAGAAGCAGTAGCGTCACACAAACACAACCCGTTACGCACCACACCTATGGTTGGTATAAGATACTGAAATCTAAAGCATATATTACGATACAAAAATGCACTTTGCTGCAGCGTATTTTTCTGTTCCAAAATTTGATCACATCGGGGGTAAAAGAGACTTCAAGATGAAGAGGTTGGGGAAGAAATCAATAATAGGAGGCAATTACACGCAAAACAGGACTGGTCTAAATTGCAGATCCCGGCGAACCAAACATGTAGGACTATGTTATAAGATACACAGATCTGAAGAGCACTATGATACATCATGGCATTCTGCATTTTGCCATGTTTATCATGTGTGAAAAGGGCTTAAAATTGAGAAATTGTGGAAGAAATCAATTATAGGAGTCCATTACACTCATCAAGGGACTGATCTGAAATGTAGCTCTTGGAGGACCTAATTTACACCATAGTTTAGAGTATCACTTTAAACCATTTTGTCTCCAGAATATAGGGCAGATTGCAATTAAATCTACTCTACTTGTGACATTTGAAAGTCTACTAGCCTAGATACATGCAGCATTCTTTCATCTTCATTATAACCACCTCAACTGGATCATTGTTTTAATTTCATCACATTTAATCTCCCGTTCTCTTTTTTTTGCCACTTATGAAAATGACCTGCCCTTGTTTTATGTTTTTTCTTCCTTCACAGGTGGGGGTATGATGGATTCTATGACACATGCTCAGGCGACAATTGTTCCGCAGTAAATATCCTGCATTGAACCAATTATGAACATCAACCCTGGACCAGACACTACACCTACATGTAACCCTAACCCTAATTTTAATCTTTACTTTAAACCACAATGTACTATAATGCACCAGAAAGTCCATCTGTGCAGTATCGCTTTAAAACACAATTGTACTGCTGGCCCAGATTTTAACCCTGAACCAAACACTAAGCGTAATAACCCTATAACTCCTTAACTTTAAAGTGGGACTGCACTACTTATATCTCCTTGAGCCCTCTGTATAGCCAACAATGCCTAAGCGGTACCCTTTGATTCCCCATGATGCCCTTTTTCTGATGTTAATTGAGAGCTGATTTGATGAGATAACCACCTGTCAGTGACCTTGCAGGGTGGTCTAATCCCTCCTGGCCAAACTCGTGCAGATGGGCTTTAACCTAAAACCAAAGAGTAATCCTAATGCTACATTCACAACAAAACAAAGCTTGGCGCTAATGTCACTAGAGCAATTGTCACATCAATGTCTCATGGTAATGCTCCGGGCGGAAAGGCTTCTAAGAATGTCTCCCTTTCCAGACAAAATGACTCAAAATTTTGCAGGAAACCCTAAAATTGTACCAGTTAAAGAAGTTTGTAGTCCCATGTGCTCCATTTCGTGGGGCCTCTAAAACAGCGGAAACTGATCTAAGCAACATTGATTTACCAGCGCTGTAGACATGTAGTCCCACGTGCTTTGAATCAAGGGGCCTATTTGGTGGAGGATAGTGAGTTACATGTAAGTAACTCTGACTCCAACAAAATTGTTTCAATAGCAATACAAGAGTATATAAAACTCCTTATATTAATCAGTTACCCTCTCATAATGCATCCAGTTTTAGAGCATTTTGCAGCACCCTATCTTAAGTATACCGGCATATATATCATTAATACCCCCCCCCCCCCCCAAAAAAAAAAAAAAAAAATAAATAAATAAATAAATAAATAAATAAAAAATGAAACCACTTCTTAAGCACCCAAACTCAGATCACACTACCCTCGATTGTTCTATACATTGTCCTTATGGTTTGGACCACCAAAGGTACATGCAAGTCCAATGCAGTCACCAGTGGATCATGTGCTAAGCATCCATGGACCAGTAACCAAAAGAAGATTACAATTACTGATATACAGGTCACTGAATCAAGAGCAGCGAGAGCTCAGCAATGATTCACATATGTACTTGAGTCGGCACCTCAGACATTTCCAAGGATTTCCAAATTTTTGTCTTGACCCTTTCATACTGGGACATAGGGTTGTCTCTGCTGTGTATTATTTGTATACTAACTAAAGAATGAATGGGTTTTACAAAACATGCTCCAGCAACATTTGCTGCCTGGTAAAATTCCTAACTTCAACCTTGAACTACGAGGCAGAATCCTAGTAAAAACATCACCCTCACCCCATACATGCATCCCACGCAAAATGAAGTCTTCTTAGTAAACTTCTTTTTCTTTTTTCTTTCTTTTTTGCTAGAGCAAATACAGAGGTTTCCAGGCATGTTTACAGCCCTTTCCAATTCAACAATTTCTTGAGGAGGGGGAAAAATTTCACATGCACTGCTAATGTACATTTAAACCAACCTTGTGCACCGGACAGAATCTCCAGTTATCGGAACATCCCGGAGAGCCATCACCACATCCTGTCCACGACTTGGTCTGCTTCTGACGTAAGGTTTTGCGGGTCATGGAGCTCCTGGTGAGGCCACTGATGAGACCACCTCCGCTGGACATGCAGGTGGCACGACTGACCAGTTGACGGGAGCTGTCAGTGAACCCTGGCATTGAGGCTGACCGGTAGACACCAAGGTGGCCACCGACCATACCTCCTCCGAGGTAACGATCATCCAGGCGTCCTGGATGAAGCTTGGTCCTGCAATCATTGTCAATCATGTCCAGGAGTTCCTTCTGGTTTTCTTCCCCAAAGGGGACTCTGTTTCCTGTCAGTGGCTTGGCTTCTTTATCAGCTACAATAACAGGTATTGACATTGTGGTTGACTGATCAGTAACCTTTGGCTTTACTTCTTTTACAACGACATCACGGTCCACTTTATCACTTCTCTTCTGTTTCCCAACTTCAGAATGGGTATCACGTTCCAGCCCTTTAAAGGAACCGTCAGATAGTTTATCAGAGTTTTTGAAAACGGAAGAATTATTTTCCGACACATCTTTGGTATTATCTTGACGGACACCTTTTTCATTAGTTTTATGATTTGCATTTGGCCCTTGCTTCTTTGAACTATCAAAGACATTGCAATTCTTTTCCTTTCCATTCACACGTAGTGGCAGCTCTGGAGATTGGTGCGCATTTGATTTTCCAGCTTTATCTTGTTTTTTACGACGTGCCCTTGCTGGTAATTCTGGGGAACTCTGTCCAGCAGAGTCATGGCTATCTTGAAAAAACCTCTGGGGAGAAATTGGAGCTGATGATGACTGCCTCTTGTGTTCCACAGATTCACTGCTTTGCCTCACCCCTATAATCAGTGGAGTTAGGTCTGGTGACTTGGGTCCAATGGTAGTCGTGTCCTCTGAGCTAGCAGCCCTCCTCCGGGAAGACTTTGCTGGTAGTTCAGGTGATGGTGGATCGCGAGGGTCTTCACCCCTAGATTTGCAGCCGTTGAGGTGCTTGTGGTGGAGATTTGGGTGGGACATGGCACCCGTTCTTCTTCGATGAGCATAAGCCTCTCGAAGCTGGACATGTCCATTGGCATCTTTTGCTCGTATCACTGGTGGCGAGCCAGAATGCACAGGAACCAAAGGATCATGTTGATTGTCTATGTCACCGCCCTTTCCTGGGCTAGGCTTCTCTGCAGAATTTTTTCTTTGGAACCTTGAATCCTTACTACTAGCGTCTGAGGGGCATTGATGATGTGGGTCTTTCCCTTTGTGTTTTGGGGACCCAGGATCCTGCATCCTATGCACATCTTTTGCATTTGGGGATTGGTGTCCATGACCGGAATGTCTATTTGGCTCCTTTGATCTTGGCGACTTCGGAACTTCTGCATGATGCGTGTATGATTCTTTAGACTTTGGGGAATTCGGCCAAAAGCTGAAATGGGAATCCTTGATCTTGGGCGATTTTGGAGACAAGGGGGATCTGGGAGACTGCGGCTTAGCATGATGCATGTATGAGTCTTTAAGTCTGGGAGATCTGGAGGAATCTGCATGATGCATGTAAGAATCTTTAGATCGGGGTGAGCCACTGGAATCTGCAAGGTGCATGTACGATTCCTTAAACCTTGGTGAACATGGAGCATCATGTGACCTCTGTTTTTCCTTGCTCAATCTTAGACCATCCCTGCTCAAGAAATTCCCCTTCCCATCCTGGAAATTGGGGTGTGCTTCTGCATAATTGTGATGGTTGGAAGAAATATCAATCGGATGAGGCACAGGCTTCGGCTCCATGCCTGACCTTGCACCCCCTAGGTCCGGTTGGTCCTTGCTCTCCTTTGAGTGTGTCCGCATATGCTCATGAGAGAGGGATCGCTTTGCTTTCTTCCCAGACCCATGAGGGTGGCTGAGCTTGGCACTATGTGCATGCATGATCCTGTTATACTCCTAGCTGACAATTCAGAATCCGAAGCACATCGTGTCCTTTCTGGAATAACAAATCACACTTAAATATCCCCAACGACAAACTTGACAAGTTTCAAATGAACATGATATCCACGGGGTACAGCACAGAGTCTGAAATTCACGAAATTAACCTTTCAAACCTTCCGTCTTAATACACTTTTTCAGAGTACATCCAACATCGTGCCAGACAAAAATGAGTTATTTATACGCTTCCAAAGTCCAATAGACTTAACATCATACTACGTGTGTAATATATCCTTTCGTCATAGGTTATAAACCTATATATACATTGTTTTTCCCTGAAACCATGTCAATTGTGTGTTGGCAATGCTGCGCCTTCCTTGACAAACTGCTCAATACTTGGCAAGTCTTTGACGTCCGCAGAGCACACAGAACTTTAAAGCGAAACGTGACTTGGAAAGCACCACATGACCGTCTCAGATCTTTCCAGATAAAAACAAAACAAGTCGATCCCAGCGGCGGCACGTCATATCACCATGATCTCTGTAAGGAAGTCCTCATCAGCATATTCATCACATCCCATGACAGTCATTAACAAAGCAGCGGTTAGTCGTAGTTCGTCCGTCGTGCGTTAACTGCATATATCATTCCTGTAAGGTAAATGGGCTTGTTCCTGGTGATTCCTGCAAACGGGGTGCACAAATGTACCTGCAACTGTAACCCTACGTGGCATGAAAAGTTTGTATGAAGTCTCTACCAGACAACTTATGATTGGCCAAGTTGGAGACTATGTTGAATTCCTATTCCCTAGCGGCATGAAAATCAAGCCCACTCTATTAACTGCAAGGGAAAAGTTACGTACTGCAGTTGATGTGCCAGCTGCAGAAAGTCTTGCAAGAGATAGAGAACAACAAGAAAAACAAGCTCACAACTCGATGGGCTATACCATTCACCCTAAGAGGGGGGTTTCCTGCCACAGGAAGTGAGGGTGAGCTGGGGAGGAAATGAATATGTAGTCATTGACAAACTGAATCATCTCTTAGCTTTTCTTACTTTCGCTTCTCTCAGTTGCCCCCCTCCCCATACCCTGTTCAACCAAAGGTCATTGCAAGGGGGTTTCACACCATGTAGAAATTTCCCCTTTTATTAACATTGTTCACTATCTCACGCTGATTCACTGACGGTTAATTTGTTAATTTAATTCATTATCGTCATGCTCAAATGACATTTAGTCACGAACAATGCATTTTCTTTGGTTTTGAGTTTTTCAACCATTGCAAAATCATATAAAACTGAATAATCTAACAAATAAACACCTCTGGTTTGACAAATAAATACCTCTGGCTTAACAAAGTCTTGTCATACCTGACATAATTTTTATTACAAACAATCCAATTTCTTTTGTTCAAAAAAATATTAACGTGTATGCACATTGTGCACTCAAACAAAACTGGTCAAATTCACAAAAGCCAAAGGGCTGACAAAGACTCCATACATCTATACTTTGCAAATACTTTGCAACATAGCAAATGCTCAAATTTCTATTTAAAACAAAACTCTATTACAAACTGCAAACATGTAGCTGCATATTAAAAACTATGAAACTAAAAAGTTTTATACAAACAAATCTGTAGTTCTGTTATGATTCTTATATTGTTCATTTATGACATTCATGATATCCCTTTTTGTCTCAATATTTTATTCAGTTTCATAACTCTAAGTACTTAACTTAAGATGTGTCACACCATAGAAAGCAGATCATTTACATTTTCAGCGAAATTTCTAATAAGCTACAATTTCCTCTGAGAGGAAATTCACCATAGCAACTCTATACAGAGACCTGACTGTATTTCCATCAGGGGATCATTATCTAGCAGTCCTAATTACTAATCATTATTTTGTGTATTGAGAAGCAGAAGGGCACTAACTCTCTGTTCAAATATGAGTTAATGTCCCTCTAGCCCCAAACAGATGAGTCATTATCATTATCACGAACAACTTTATCATCAGAATGATTTTTTGGGGTGATTTTTTAATCAGTGAACAAAAAGAATGATTGGAAGCTCAACTGGCTACCAATGCAAAAGAAAGAAAAGGGGGAATTTTTCATCAAATCATAATTCTCAATGCTACATCAACTAAGAGAATCAAAACTTTCAGGTGTAATGGGCCAGTTTTCTTATACTTGAATTCAACAACAAAAAAGTAGTAGGAGAGGGCGCAAATAAAAGGCAGACAAGGGATGTATAGATCTTATTACCGGTAGATAGAAGAACTATTTTAAAGATTTCACTGTTCTTGGGTTACACTTCCACAGCACTTAATAGATCTAACTGGCTCAGAAATTGGCCCGGAAAGCTTAGGAAAGTGGCTCCTTTTACCTAAAAGATGTTGGACAATCCATTTAGTATCAACGAAGGCCCCTGCCAGTTGTTGTCCATCACATCTTAATGAGCCTTAATGGGTAACAATAACAGATGTTCAATCTACAACAAAATCTGTAGCAAAGTCTGTTGAGAAAACCAGAACCATTACTATACATAACATTTTTTAGAATTTTGCAAGTGTTCTTAGGTTCTTTGAAAAATTGATAACATAACTGGTGTGAAAGCAGCCGTAATGATGTTTTCAGTGTTGGTTGCGAAGCAGCACAGTGATTCAGGATAAAAATACAGGAGGCACACACAGACGTTTGTACAGTCCTCTATGTAATAGGCCTGTTTTCATCAGCTCGAGTTTGCCAAATAACCCGCTATTTTAACTAGCCCGATCTCAAATTAGCCAGTCAATTTGCGTCCTCATCAGCCCGCAGATGCAAATAGCTGGTTATTTGGTCGAGAAAATATCCCTAGACATCTTGGTCTTTCCAAAATATAGCTTGCTATTTGCGAAATAACAGGTTAATTTGCACTCGCCTTCATCAGACAGAAGTACGAAGTCTGCTCGATCCCACCAGGCACGATTTCCAGTTTTCAGTGTTTGTAAAAAAAACTATACATGTGTGTACGACACATGTTTTACAGCGCGGGTAAAACCTAAAATCTGTGCCCTTATATACAGTCGGTCTCTGAAGTGCGCGTGCATGCGCCAATCTCTGGTTTATTTTTCGAGCTACACTGTAGTTTGTGATGAGCGAATCGGTCTGGTGATGATGCAATTTCGAGCAACGGGAAAATATCCTGCGTCTTAAAGTTAAAATAGCTGGTTATTTGGCAAACTCGAGCTGATGTAAACAGGCCTATGATGGAGATACTTTCTCTTGCAGGAAACCACATAAGTCACATGCACAACGACCCAGAGTCTAGAGTATCATGCGGAAAACTTTTGCATAAACTGCGTAATTCGATTAAAGAGAACATGGGGGATTAGAAAGGAAAGAAATGGAAGGAGATACATTGGAAAAGAAAAGAAAAGCAAAGCATATTCATGTGGCTCCACTCTGTACTTTTTTCAAAATAAAAGCCTTTCTCAACAACCCTTCATTTTACCCCAATTATCCTCTTAATTACTACAATATCTTGCATATATCTTATCTGCACTTATTTCTAAAGAATAAAAGAACAATACAGAATAAGGAATAACGAAATGGAAGAGATTGAAAGACTGCTTTAAAATGTTTAGTGTTGCTAGGGTAAATTTTCGCAGTGTCATTTGAAGATTTAAATTTTTTTTTTTTTTAAAGCCTAAAAGGAGACCCCACCGATTTTGCCGCATCATAAACCAGCAAGCCTAAAACATGATGTTCGATCTACAACAACATCTGGAGCAAAGTCTGTTGAGACTAAAACAAACCAGAAACTTTACCAAACAAATCATTTAAAAGAAAATTGAATGTGTTCAAGTTGTCCAAAATTTCCCTGAGCAGTGCTAAATTAGTCAATTACGTCATCGACATTTTGCAATACCAGTAAGCGAAAGTTCCCTGCTACAAAAATGACCACTGCAAACTATATAGGACAGCTGGGGTCAGGCGAGTTTCTACTTTCAAAGTATTTTTGAGTGTTTCCATGTCTTGCAGAATTAGACAAATTTGGGTGAAGGTGATGGGATGTATTCACTTAAAGTGTTTGTCCCCCTCCTTCACGAAGGTGCTATTAGTAATTAACATTTACTGGTGAAGATAGCCGAGTCATAAGACGACTTCTGGTTGACAGATCAATTAAAGATTTGCAAAAAACATCCCCACAGTTCAATGTGGTGTATGGATCTCTTCTCCTGTTATTGAATTATGCTTAAATAAAGTCTCTGCCCCACAAGGGTTAACTCAAATCATTCGTACAGAAAGGAAAAAAATATGTATATACAGTGTGTAATTTAATTGGAAAATTATATCTGACATCCAGATATTTTTATATGTGTTTTTTGTACTTCTGTTTTTAAAATGCAAACATAACATAGCATTAAAGGTTATGCAAAGTTTTGGTATGGGGTCATGAATTTGGTTCAAATGAACACATTGCCAAAAAACCTTTCTTTTGTGAGATGTTCTTTGTTTACTGTCTTTGTTGAAGCATATTTTTGTACCATTTATCTGTATTTCTTCCATGCCCCAGGTGGGGCCATAAAGAAAGAAAACAAATCTGTCAAACCTTTCAACATTGGACTCCTATGAATCACATGAAACATTTTGTTCCACATTGTCTGTTCCACCTTGTCTATTCAGTGAACATTTTGATTATCATTTCAATAACACACACAAAATTCCTTGTCGATCAGGGTTAAGAGACTTTCGGCCTGTCTTCATCAGCTCGAGATTGCTAAATATCCTGCTATTTGAACTATATCCAGATCACAAATTATCCAGTTAATTTGCGTCCTCATCAGCCCGAAGTTGCAATTAGTGGCATATTTGGTAGAGATAATCATCCCAATATATCTTGGGCTAGTTTGCAAAATATCCCGCTATTTGGCAAAATATCTCGCTATTAAGCTGGTGCGTCTTCACCAGCCCGAAGACTCGCACTATGCACGAACGCTGAGCAAAATATCTCAAGTCTCAAGCTGAGGAAGACGTGAATTGTAACTTCGGGGTAATTTCCCAAATCAGAAATAGCGGGCTATTTGGTAATCTTGAGCTGATGAGGACAGGCCTTTTAACTTTACACACATCACCCAGCTTATCTTTAACCCTGGCTATCGCTGAACTAGATTTGTTGGTGACCTCCATGAATCACATGGTCAACGTCACATGACGACATTGGGGGACGGGAAGGATAGGGATGGGTGATACACAACCAAACTCTTCGGAGGGGGAAGGATGGATAAATTTTGATGTTAGAGGGATTTGAAGGGTGCTTCCGCTCAACGAGACTATCCAGCGATCTAGCGTGAGGGTTCAAGAGCAAAAATTGGGTCTAGGTCTCTCGTCTTTCGTCTCTCATGAACGGCTACAATTTTAAAGGTGCTCAATAATGTTTGACATTGGGCTAGATGTCACTGAATCGACGGTGAATATGTCACTGAATTGATAAAGAATATGTCACTGAATAAATGGTGAATATGTCACTGAATTGATGGTGAATCTGTCACTGAATTGATGGTGAATCTGTCACTGAAATGATGGTGAATCTGTCACTGAATTGATGGTGAACTCGTCACTGAATTGATGGTGAGTCTGTCAATGAATTGATGGTAAATATGGCACTGAATTGATGGTGAATCTATCACTGAATTGATGGTGAAAATGTCACTGAATTGATGGTGAATATGTCACTGAATTCATGGTGACTCTGTCACTGAATTCATGGTGAATACGTCACTGAATTAATGGTGAACACCTCACTGAATTGATGGTGAATATGTCACTGAATAGATGGTGAATATGTCACTGAATTGTTGGTGAATAATATGTCACTGAATTGATGATGAATCCGTCACTAAATTGATGGTGTATATGTCACTGAATCGATGGTGAATATGTCACTGAATTGATGGTGAATATG